AACCCTTTGGAGAAACCCTATTCTAAGTCTTAAGGCCCCCATATTACAGTGCAACCGCGGGCCTTCGGTCTCGCTGCGGAGTTCCCAAACGAAGACCAGGGGTCGACTCTCGCGTCCTGAGGCGCATGGCTGCTAGGGTTTAGGGCTCCTTCAAGGAATGGATCAATAAAAGGATCCATAAGGGGGTCTAGAAGGGATTTAGGAATTCTTATGGGTTTAGGCTTGAGGGTTGAAGGTGTAGGGTTCAGGGTTTAGGCTTTTCGAGTGTGAGGATTAGGTTTTGGGGAGTTTGGGCGCTGTAGGAATAAAAACACCAAGTATTGACAGAGTACGGAGCAAGCTTCTATCGTTTCGAAATGACCGTTGAGGTGTAGATTTCCGGCTTAGAGTAGGAGTATCGCATTCTAAGCGACTGAAGAACGTAAGGGTTCAGGGTCTGCGCGGTTCGGGGCTCAGGCATGCTATCACACGAGACAAGGTAATGTAGAATGCACTGCAGCATACTTAATAGGTAGAACATGACAGCAGATGTGAGGCTGAAATCTTCAGAATCTGGTACAGTGGCGTAGAAAGCTATCTTTTGCAACAGGGATAGAAAGATAAAGAGAGAAAGAGAGAACCACAAAGAGAATTCCGTTCTTCACAGAACCGAATTCATTCTGCCCCCTTCCCATACCGAGTGCATAGCTGAGGCATTTTCACCAAGACAGCAGAGTCTCCTAATCGGATGCCAATGCCGAAGAACTGTCAAACATCGAGGCATTTGGTCGTGGATACTGCAGAAGTCAAGGTGTCGCTGCCAAAAAATCTCAAACCTTCCGTAAACCCTAAAGAACAACCCTAAACCAAATCCTAAGCGTTTAGGCCTTGACACTAGAGAAGGCCGGGAATCCGAAACACTGCAAGCCCGAGCCCCAAAACCCCCATAAGCCCCAAGCCCTGAACCCTTAAAGCCTTCTAAGCCCTGAACCTCTAACCCATGAAGCCTGAATCAATCTCTAAACCCTAGAATGCCGAAAGCGCTACCCTGGACCCTAAACCCTAAAATCCCGAAAGCCCCTAAAGCTAAGCCTCAAATACCGAGATCCCCCGTAAATCCCAACAACCCGGAGCGCAGAACCCTGAAACCCGAATATAGGGGCCTCAGTAGTTGGACTAGGGACTATAGTGGAACTGTAAGGCAACAGAACTACAGCAATGGGAAATTATTGGTATGTATTCCCACCTCCTAAAATGAAGCCCTAAACCACCCCAAGCCCAGAGCCCTTCAAGCCGTCACCTTCAGCCCGCCTGGGTTTTGCACGGCCGCCGAGTACGCATAGCGCCGGTTCGCGAGCAGCCTGTAACCGACTGGTTCGGGCTTGGGGTTCGGCGATTAGGGATTAGGACTCAGGGTTTAGGGATTAGGGATCAGGGTTAGTAGGTTTGGGGGATCAGGGTTTGGGGTATTGGGATATAGGGCTTTAGTTTGAGTTTGAGTCTTGCCCGCCGACGGTAGCAACCGACAAGGCCGGCGCCTTGACCATGCCGAAGCCGAACCCCAAAGTCCTCTACACCCTGAACTAAACAAAAGCAAAACTCCAAACAACTTCTGCGAACCCTGAACCTCAAAACCAAGGACTGACTAAAACCCTAAAGCCTAATTGCCCTAATTCTCTTCTCCGCCTGTCTGCCTCATCTGGCCCCAACGTCAGCTGCCTTCAATGAAAGCAGTTCCGGGGGGACAGAAGTCTCACAGGTTTTGGCTTAGTGCCTTAATAATTAAAATAGGGTCTTGGGGTCCATTATACTATAACTATATTA